TTTTTTGGAAAAAGCCATCTCTTCGAACGCGTCTGGACGCGTTTTGAAAAAGAAACGCGTTTATGCCGTCAGATGTTTCATCGTCTCTTCGGACGTGTGTGGACGCGTTTTGAGAAAGAAACGCGGTTGAACGCATCAGCAAGACGCGTCTGGATGCGTTTGATTAACGCATCTAGATGCATCAAATGTTTCATTTCTATCGCGTTTGGTGCGTTTGTGCCTTGCGTTTGAAACGCATCCGAAACGCGTTTTAAACGCGTTTACACTCAAAAAAATTTCACATGGGAAGAAAGAGTGTAGGTGAGAGTAAACATTCATCTCACAGATGAATCTCATCATTAGAAGGCTCTCATAAAATTAATTAATGTAAAATATAACTAGTTGTAGATATTATAAAAGCTAAAGAAAATATACCAACTTAATGGTGAAAAACAAACAAAACAGGTACGTGTGTGGGCTTGCCCTTTTCTTGCTCGTTATAAAGTATTATGCATCAATAACTTCGTTTTTTTTATTATATTGATCATTAGAAAAAATAAATGCGTTATAAAGCAATATTATTAATGTTTCATTTCTAATTATTAAGGTCAACAAATATTATGTAGAGGACATTTATTAAATTGTAATAAAATAATGTAATATTTTCGGACTTTTTTCATGACCTTATAACGAAATTTATACATTGTTTAATATAATATCTATATTACTAATGATTGCATCCATTTGAGATGAGCTCTTTATAATCTCCCTACAGGAAAAATATCAATTATAATGGAAATGATCGTTTCGAAATAAAAATCTACATAATTCAATATGACTTATTTTTTATTTTTCTAGAGTTCGTAGTTTGTTTTTCTTACAAATAATTATACTAAATAAAAATACGTCATTATAGAAATCATATGAAATAAAATATTATTCATGACCTTTCACAGAAAATATACATTAATTAATACAATAAACAGGTAATGATTTATATATATTAATCATAAAAGTAGTTTTCTTTTTTTCATGCGATAAAGAAAAGGTGAGTAAATCATAGATTATCATAACAAAATAACAAGAATATGTTGTAAAATTTTTAAGTAAAATATGGATGCAGATGAAACTGAAAAAAAATTCAATTCTGATATTATTTATAATAAATATGAGGATTTATTAAATAATTTGAATAATAATATTCCATCTCCAATTGGTTTTCGTATTGCTGAATCACCAATATTTCTTAGCAATGATTTTCGTGATAGAATTATAATGGCTGGTAATTATATTATCGATTTTATATTACATCCTGATTTTAAACAAATAACAGAAGATTCTATTCCTAAAAAATGGCGTTGTGCAAATGAAAATAATCATCCACATGTTATTATAATGGATTTTGCAATACATAACGATACAAATGGAAATCTTGTACCTAAATTAATTGAATTACAAGGTTTTCCATCTATTTATGCATTACAAGCTGATTTAGGTATGTTTTATCAAACAATATATGGAATTCCTGACAATTGGAATATTTATTTTAATGGATTAGATAGAATTCATTATTTTAATTTACTTAAAGAAACTATTGTAGGATCTCATCAACCGGATGAAGTTGTACTTTTGGATATTAATCCTCATAAACAGCATACAGCCGCTGATTTTTATTTAACGCAAAAATATTTAGGCATATCGATTGTCTCATTAACAGATTTACAACGAAAAGGTAAACAGTTATTTTATGAATGTCAAGGAAAGCAAAAATTAATCAAACGAATTTATAACCGTCTGGTTTTTGACGAAATCGCTGATAAAGAAAATATTTTCGAGGAAAATGTTGATTTAAGACAAGATCTTGATGTTGAATGGATAACACATCCTCATTGGTTTTATCGTATAAGTAAATATATTTTACCTTATCTTAAAGGTGAATTCATACCAAAAACATATTTCTTAAATCAAATTAATCAAAATCTTCCCAATGATCTTGAAAATTATGTATTAAAACCATTATTTTCATTTGGTGGCCGAGGTGTTCTTATTGATATTACAAAAGATGATATTAAAAAAATAGAAGATCCATTTGAATGGATAATTCAAGAAAAAGTTGAATATCATCCTTTGTTTCATTTTAATCTTCAGGATATAAAAGGAGAAATTCGTTTAATGTATCTTTGGCCCGATGATTATAAACGACCAATATTGACTACAAACTCCACGCGTTTAAGCAATGGAAAAACAATCAATGTTCGACATAATGAAAATTCTCGATGGACGGGTGCATCAATTGCTTTTATACAAAATTCGAACTAAAGTTTGCTTTTAAACTGGATTAATCGGCTTCTGCCCTAGCAGACAAAAGTTTGTAAAAACGCGTTTAAACGTTCAGTCAGGAACCTCGACTGTGGTCTAAACACGGCAACCAATAAAACGTAAAAAACGCCGTTGTCAACGTGTAATTCGCACTTTCAGAACGTTAAAACGCTACAGATCAGACATTTTCAGCGATTTAACGGACTCTTTTTACACACTTGAAAAGCTATGCGTTAAATCGCTGAAAATGTCTGATCTGTAGCGTTTTAACGTTCTGAAAGTGCGAATTACACGTTAACAACGGCGTTTTTTACGTTTTCTTATTTGCCGTGTTTAGCCTACAGTCGAGGTTCCCGACTGAACGTTTAAACGCGTTTTTGCAAATTTTTGTCTGCTAGGGTGATTACCGTTCGATTCTAATACAGACAAACATACAATTTTATATTGTTGTATTTATCATTTTTTTTCAAACACGATTTGACACTAAAATTGATAATCGATGAGTAAGCACCTGACAATGAATGAGCAATTCGAAGAGTATTTTCACATGTTTGTGAATTAAACATATACGTATTGATAGCATCAATCGGAAGTATTCTCATTCGGCAATTTCAAATACTTTATTCATGCTCTTCATAATCTGCATGTGAATAACACCGTCCATAGTTGATATAATCGTTCTTCAATTGGTGTATATTTTTCGATCAATGATGATATGATCAACCGCAACAATGACAAATATACCTATGCATCCCTGTATTCATCAATATCATGTAACAATTTTAATACAATATCAGAAGAAATCTTCACACATGATGTAAAATTTTGTCGATCTTTTGGATTGATATCTGATCTAAATAAATTATGATCCAGTTTATTCTTCAAGTTCATTAAATCAAATAAATGTTGAATATCTACCGAATAAGATGCCAATTTCAATGAAGCGACTTTCGATACATAAGTCTATTTCTAAATTTAGTTGCCACGTGTATACGATCTTGCATGAAAAGAAGAATTTGCTGTTTTTTCATAAAAAACCAAGACCATGAGTCGGGCAATGTAATTTCAAATATGTCGTTGTATTTTGATAAATCAAAATTGTTCAATGTAGCAAAAAAACGTAGACATAAACGCATTGCTTTCAAATAACGACTGTCACCATCCGTGCTAAAACCAATCACACGTGTACCTCGCTTCAAACATTGTTCGTAAATATATACCCATCTTTTAAATACATCACCAGATGTGGCTCTATTATTTGAATCATAAGCAGATAATATCATTGGAGAGGTATCCGGTGTTATAGATTGTACTATATGAACATGAATAAATTTCGAACGATCAAATTCATTGAGCCACATTTTCAATTCTTCAAAGTCATCTGTTCGAAAAAACTTCGGTTGTGGCAATCCGTCGATCAGTAGAGAGGAAAGACTTATAAAAGAATAGTAAATATTGCTGCAGTAATTCAAAGCGAAATTCACATTCAGTCCTTTTCACTTCATGATTTCGGATCAATTTCTGTAAGTTGGAAATATGAGGCAATGCACAACATAAATTCAAGCGTAGAAATTCATATCAATTCCTACCACCAAATATGTAAATTAACATGGCAAATTGCTGTACGTCATCATCATAGCTGAACTGATTTTTTGATTTTTTTCATGTTCTCGCACAGATATTTTTCATCCATAGAATAATAATCGGAACATTGATATCGTTGTAGGAACTAGGTGATTGATTCCACAATGCAAATCGTTGTTTGAAAATGTCATTTCGCATATGATCGTTATTTATGTGTGAATTTGTAATAAGTGTGTCATTTCTTGACTTTACTAAAAATCACAAACGCTCAGTTAATTTTCGAAATTCTAATTGTAGATGGAATTTTCCATCTGTTGACACATAACCAAGTACTTTTCTTAAAGGACGTAATTCGGTAATATCGTAATCCAGTATCTGCATCAATTCATCAACTGTGATAGATTTTAAAGAATTCATCCAACGAATTGATTGGATTCGAAAGAATTCACATAAATCCTTGCCTAAAACGGTTTTCAAAAAATCATAAAATTTATGATGACAGAAGTTCATCATATCGTCAGTTAATTTATCGATTTGGTATAGATCCATCGATGACAGGAATTAATAAATAAATGTGTTTGAGTTAAAGTATTACTGATCTTAGAAACAAAAAGAATAACATTGAAATATGCGTTAATTCTTTCGATCTAGTATATTCAATGAAGTATATTGAGTTATTTATCCTAAGTCAATATAGACACTCATAAATATAGATTCAAATGAAAATCATAAAATAATATGTAGACATTGAAGATCCGAGGATAGCGCTCAGTCGCAAGAGTTACGTTTGCAGTAAATTCTGTCAAAGATGTTTTTTGACTGGTAACTTTTCACCCTCCATCCACCACAAACACACTTCTATTTATTAGCCTTCATGTCATTATAACTATGCACATCTGATAATGATAAACAAAAAAAAGTTCACACATTAGTTTTTATTTTCGAAGATAGACATTAGAGACGAAAACGTTGAATTCGATGATTACCATAGTCAGCCACATAAAGAAATGCCTCTGTTGGATCTAGTGCACAATCACCCAGCGTATTCAGAAGAGATGACATGCTGCTTGTTACACCTGTCACACCAAAAACGATCAAACCTTGCGTAGCATTCACTACCCATTTCACCATTCGATGATTGTCTTGATCACCCACATACACCCATTGATCTGTCGATGATACACCAACTCCTGCTGAATTCTTCAGCTGAGGCCGACTTTCATCATATCCGTTGCTGCCAGATTTTCTTCAATATGCATAAATTCTTCTGATTAATTTCACGCTCTTCAACTGCAGATTCGCGAATGCTACGATAAAAATTGCATCATTTTAACGAACAAACCGATCTGACCTACTCTACCTTGTCTAATATCGCATTTCAAAACACAGATACACAATACACAAACTTGAGTTACATCAGATGTGACGAGTATTATCGTTTCATGAATGTTAATTTAGATGTATGAAAGAGTCTCAAAAACCATGTCTGTTTTACTTTACAAACAATTCTTATCTTCAGCTGCTTCATCACTTATTTGAACTTGCTTGTCGTTTTTTACTATAACAGTTGTTTGTTGCTTGATATATTTCTAAGAATAAATCCATCTGTGTTGTTTCATAACCGCTGCTCATAGATGATCAAGACAGCACATAGACCATACGATTGGATTGCGTTTTTTTCCTAACTGAATTGAACCGGTTGCAAATACAACTTTCCACTGCGTGTTAGTGTTCGTCGTAACTCAATAGAATTTAGAAAACTTTCATACACACAAATAGTAAATTTACACTTTTTATATCAGTATTAGCAGTAGAAGCAATATTTGTCTTTAAATAGATATTTTATATGCGTTGAGTACTGGTAAATCTTTGATGATATATTTACTTATATTTGCTTGTGAACACCATCGATGGTCATGAGGTATCTGTAGAAATTTTGATTTGTTGCGAGCATTTCAGCAATATTGAATAGATGAGTGAAGAAATGACATAATTACATCCTCACCAGCAAGAAGGTTTTGTACATGCTGTGGTGTAATAACTGAATAGCTGCAGAAAGAAAATCTTTTCTTTCTCTTTGTATTTATCATTATAGAAGAAATTAGTGGCGTTATCAGGATGATTTGTTCTTTTTTTCTGTTTAACTAGGCAAACGTCGATTGAATAGATGTTTTTACGATGGTAGACCTTCGAATAAAGAAAGAAACACCTGAGCTGGCAACTCACTCCGCCTTCTTTCTACCTGTACTTTGTACAGATCTCCTCTTAAATTCTATCTTCGATGTCACCTCTTAAGCGTTCGTAGTTGATGGCGATCAAATGTTGGCAAAATCTTCTTTTGCATTTGATTTCAGTTTCGGATTAATCAAAACTCAATGTGCAATGCAAGAATGATAGTTCCCGTCGAGCTCTTTCAATTATTATTATTTTTGCATCTCTCATTCCGTTTATGTATTTTTCAATGACCACCCGCTAGGCTTAGTATTTTGTTCGTTGTATAAATAATCCTCTTTTTCATACGAAAAGTTCAGGCGAGTTGTATTTACATGTCGACAGCAATCGAGAACAACACCACTTCGAATAACATTACAGTACCTACATGTTCGTTTACCTACATTAGCAATCGCACTTTTCAACCAAGACGTGTAACTGGTGGAGAGCGTACTTGGGAATATCTGAAAGAGCGATTTAGTCGAGCAAGCGAAGGCCTTCCCGATCCTTCTGCTAGATACTTTGAAACGATTGGATTTGGTCCGTTTTTATTTGCAGTCATAGGCAACGATGTATTCTACCACGACCGAGAAAAATGGCTTCATTATGAATCAGCAACCAATATCGAGTATGGAACTATAATTATTGATTTATGACTGATATCTTCCGTTGACTTGGCACTGAATTTATATCTGTTCTGATGAATAAATGCTTTTCTTTCGCTTACGCAGACCATACTGAGTATATTTTTTTGAGTAGTACACGAAGTAAATGGTTGATCACTATTCATAAGGCTATATAAATACATATAAACTCCTTTGCACATCATCACTACTGATAAACGATCCGAGATCATTCGTTTCACAATATTCGGCTGGTTATTGGTACGCTAAAAGAGACTGCACCTTATAATTTGTATTTCTAAAACTGTGACTGACTTTTTTTAAATTCAAACTCAAAAAGAATGATGTGCACAAATTGTAATCATTGCGAGCAAGAATCATATCTTAGCAAACGTGTATGAAAGTATTCTACTGAAAACCAAAATTACTTATAATTTATTATTCGTTTAGCGCAGTTTCAAGTACGTTGTAAAATCGATTTTCAATGTAATGTTCGACGGAATAATTTTAAGAAACCTGCCAACATCGCCTGCCGAAACAGACGAGACGTCAATGTTGATAGATAGAACGATCTCACATTAATAAAATAGTAGAGATTGTTGGTTAAACTCAACAGAAAGTAAATAATTGCCCAATTCTCCGCGCTCTTAACAGTATTTTTTGTTATCCAAAAATACGAATACATTCCTATCCATTGGAGCACAAAGAAACTACTGACAGACACTTGAGCAAATATCATTGCAATAAACTGATTGCGACAACGATTCTGATTTGCGACCAACATCGCACCCTACAACATGAGAGAATTGATCTAGAAATATTCAATGCAATACTCACAACTCGCTGTCGCCTTTGTATGACTTTTCGGTAGGTGAAAAGTACGAAGATCAACATGATAGTGGGTGTTATGATTCCATGAATGCCTATATAAATAATTGCATTGACTGTTGGATTCGTCGAACCACAACCAAAGCCAGGAAGAATATCATATAAAATAACGGAATATAATGACATGATACAGCTGATGATGATGGTAATGAAAATCATCCATGGTATCGTTCTCAACTGAAGTAGTCGAGACATAGGAGATGTTGGACCGAAAGTACAGGCATATCGGTCAATTAGAGACATTATCAACAGATTTAATGATAATTGAGGGAAAAATACCAGAGCAAAGAGTTTCAATTTACATAATGATCTGTTGGTGATAAATGCAGCGAGATTTCCTGTAGATGGATTAAAGTATAGTGGAAACAGGTTGACGAACAGATTAATGATGTCGATAAACGATGCTGAGAGTGTATAGATACAAATTGAGTTCTGTCGAAGGGTTGGTTGAAGAAACGTGAAGAGATTTCCGATAAATCCAATGAGACCGAGAATAGTGATGACGAGAGGAAGTTGATTCACAAATCTTTGTTGTACGAAATTCAAATCATTGATTATTGATCTGGTGAATGGCAGATTGACTGAAGAAAATGTTTGATTAATTGCGAACATTTCAATAATATTTAATAGAAGAAGAGTGCTACTCTATAGAAAACTCCGATCTATAATAAAGTGAAACAAGGAAAGTTGAAATTCACTTATGTTACATCCTACGGAAATCATTAATGACATCTAAGTAGAGAATTTTAACGAGAAATTTCTAGTTCAGAATTATAGAATAAAATAATACATAAATGATCATGTTAAATATTTTATGAGAGTAGTTTTCAATGAAAGTTCACTGTACTAATGATATTATAGTGAATATATTTCTCTTTTTCCTCTATTATCTATCGTATAGTTCTGATGAGCATTTTTTGATAATAGAAACAACTGAAAAGTATGTATCCACCCATATATCAACCACCTTGTATGAGATTTATGCGATATGAGCATCTCCCTATCCTTGAAAACATCTATTTTGATGAAAGAGTATGTTCCCATGCTTTTTTGTAACAGAGCGATGTGATCGTTACATCGGCAGTTCTTCTGAATATTAATTGAATGTAGCATATTCTTAATAATTAATATACCCTCGAAGTCATGTCTTTCTTCTTGCAACATTCGCTTGGGGTTGATGTCCTGGTTTGTTGTTTTCATCAACAGGAATTGTCTAAAGTTCATCGAAAACTGAGTAGCGACTTTGCACGTAGAACGATCGTTTGTCATACTCTATAGACTTACAGGTTTATGGATAAGATCCATTAACACATGAAAACAGTAACATCTGATTTCAAGCGCATGTTAATGTCTTTTAAGACAACGAGGCGAAGTTTATTTGATGGTTTTAAATGCGTAATTCGGCATTGATGATTAATATGTTCTAGAACTTCTATATATGGACTGATTCTTGAAGTTGATACTTTATGAACGTGTATCAAACAAGATTCAGCATCGTCTACTAACTCTATCAAATTTAACAAATACACTCATAGATGTTCTTGACAATATACAGTACTAAACTGAAACAAAAAATAAACTACGGCCGCCTGCATCACCGTCATTACAAATAATTAGATTATATCCAATGTATTGAAGCTCACTAAGTCATGATAATTCACTCCCTTTCTTTCCTTTCTCTCGATAAGACGTATATAAACTTTCTTTGAAAAAAAAGAAAAGGTCAAGCTGACCATAAACAAGGGCAGTTTCATATAATTAAAATATTCAATTAAAAA